TCACTGGCAATGATGATGTTACCTAGTCAGGTAATAAAACATCTGGCAAATAAACAACTAAGGTCAGAGAACATCAAGGACTTCACAGTTTAACCCTCAGCTACATTTGTTCTCTTCTATTGTTCATGAGATATAAGGAATAATTGGAGGAAATTTCTGGTTTGGTTAGTATGTTTGTGTGCTATCAGATCCAACAGTAAGAAGCTATGACTAACTGAATGGTTGTCTAGTTTATATATGTCCTTTGAAAGTAGCTATAGTGTGATATTTCTCCATCCCTTTGAAATCTGTTAGAGACTTTACCATTCTACTAGCCTGAATTTGAATTTTTCCTTCCTGCATTGCCAAATGCCCTCCCAAATGCAGGACAGACAGTAATGTAATTTATTTTATTTATTTTGTTCTTTCTCCATTTATTACTGCTAATAAACAATTTGCATAGGTAAATTAATGACTGAACACTTAATGTATACAACGTATTTATTGTATGATTCCCATAAGTTATGTTGTTGATTTATCCACAATCTGGAATCATGCTCTCGAAATACAGCCAATATGTAAATATAAAGCATTATAAAATTAATATTGGCATATATACCAAATAATGCTCTTAAAATGAGATTGCACATCACTTAAATAGAGCAGCAATAATAGATAGCCTTAGTAGTAAAAGTGCCTTCTTAGAAATACAGTGCTAGTTTTTACAGTGCATTTTACGGAATCTGTTTTATTGGCTGAGGATGAGAAATGTGCTTCATTTGGAACAGTCTGCTGCTTCACATACAGACATTCACTAACTTGTTTGTGAACAAATATTGATGCCTGGTGCTAGGCAGCTCTCGTATTTGTAACTAGAAAAATAAAACGATCACTCTGATGTACAGCGTTATAAAGTTAATATAAAAACAGCATTCCCAAATCCTGGTTTTTTTCCAAGTTCCATATTTGTAAATTAATAATTACTTTTATTTATAGCAAAAAGACCTGAATATATGATATAAATTATCATCTTTTGAATGATCCGATTATTTTTCTTAATGAGATTTGGCAGGCAGGATCACATTATGGTGACTGATGGTTGTCAAAAAAAAAAAAAAAAACAGAGCAGAAAGAGGAGAGGGAATTTATGCCAAGGAATATTCAAAAACAGATGTAATCATTGTCCTTTGATTGTTATTAACCTAATGGTTAACATTTGGGTAATGTTGTTAACAACCTGATGGCCCTTGAGCAGTGGTGGATTCAGATATGTGAACAACTAGTTCTCTGTGTGGATGCCGCTTCTGGAAGTCCATTCTGGGCCTGGGCAACAAAAAATTAGCTACCGGTTCTGCCGAAGTGGTGCAAACTGGCTGAATCCCACCACTGCCCTTGAGTTAGTAGAAGTTATTCCCCCTAGGACCCTTCAACAGATAGAATGGCAATGCAGCACACAGAGGGGAAAGACATTTTCTAAATGTTAGCAATTGCCTTTTAGAAGGAATGAGGCCATGCTTACCAGTACAAATAGTAGAAGAATGAGAGGAGATAGAAAGCTAGTTTACACCAGGCTTCCCTTTGACAATAAATCAAGGTATCTGCATTCATCACTGCAGGTGGATCATAGGCTAGTTCTGTGCTGTCTGCTGGACAATGAAAATACCTGAAAGAAAAGAGAACATAAGAAAATCTTCAATATTCTCATTAAAATCAAGCCACAAGAAGGTCTTTAATTGTGTATTATGTTCCCAAAGTCCTCTTCCTATTTCATTCTTGTCACAACCTCACAGACCTCTATGCAATTAGGCTAAAGTACAGGCAAGAATCTTTTCTATTTGTGCAAAGCTCTTTACAAAATTTAGAAAACTCTCTTCTCACAAGTTTCTAAGTCCAAAGGAGCGTCTACACCACAAGACCAGGCTCTATGCTATAGAAAATTAACTCCCTCTGGGGAAGCCTGTGAGGCCACAATAAGGGATAAGAATAAGGTCTCTTGCATGTCATAGAGTGTGTCTTCTTCTTTCTCTTCATACATGGACGAAGGAGCACTAGAATAGAATTATGAAGTTGCCTTATAATTATTTTATTTGTGTCTTGTGACCCAATTTCAATTCCTGACAACTGTATAAACAAGTCCATGCAGTTTTCTTGGAAACATTTTTTAAAGCAGTTTGCCATTGCATCATTCCTACAGCTGAAGAAGATTGTCTCAAAGTCACCTAGCCAGACAAGACTAGAACCTAATTTTCTCCATACCTAGTCTAGTACCTTAATGACTAAACCAAAATGGCTCTTTTGTTTTATGATATGCTAAACAAATTAGCTTCCTGGCCCATTACAGTCTATGCTGTAAGAGAGCCAGACAGTATCTTTTAGCCACTCCTGGTATCTTTAACTGTTTAACATATAAGTATAACATGGTCTTTGTCACCAAATCATGAGACCTTATCCTATTCTATGCATCGCTCACTACATCAGAAGACAAGGCTTTACATGCTGGATGTCCCCATGCCCTTGATGTCCCCATGTCAGGTAGAAAAATTAACACAATCTTACACTTCACAGCAGATACAGTTTTCTCTTCACAGTATCATCTCCATGTAAGGAAAGATATTTATTACATTTCTGCCTGTCTGACAGCTACTCACAACACAAAATCCTCTGCCAGGGAGGAGACAAATTTGTGAACACAAAGGAATCAAAATAGAGTTAGGTTTACCTCCAAAAATGATAGAAAAGCAGGGGAATATTCAAGCCCAGAGTTAACCATTCTTGAGCACACAGAAACATTATGCAGAAAAGGCTATGGATGGAATATTCTGGCAACACTAACTAAAGAGAAAGGAAACAAAGACAGAATTATAAGGTTAAAGATAAATTACATAAATAATTACCTTGCTAGAAGATCAGTTACATTTGCAAATCTTTTAGTCCATTACATCAATTTGTCTACATATATTTGAAGAGTCATTGTATAGTATTGTGATTCTGAACAACATAAATCCTGAATCCAAGCTACATCTATCCTGCTCTCTATAGGTCATCCTCAACTTATGACCATTCATTCAGCAATCATCCAAAGTTATGACAGCGCTGAATGAATGATGGTTACAACCGGCCATCCCAGTACTCCCGTATCACATGATCGCAATCTGGGCGCTTGGCAACTGGCTTACACTTACGACTGGTTGCAGCAACCCACAATCACATGATTGCTGTTTGCAACCTTTCATGCTAGCTTCCTGATAAACTCAATGGGGAAGTTGCCAGGGACAGATGCAAGTCACTGAGGAAAGTCTTCCCCATCCACACAACCAAGCTCCTCTGCACTTGCACCAGCTACTTGCACACCCCTGCATACTCTCCCCAAGTCTCATACACACCATTCATGCACCCGCCACACCCTCCCTGAGCCTCCCTTCCTCTCATTCTCACACATTCTCCCTGAATTTTGCCATGCCTTCATCTCTTCATGTTACTCCTTCTCCCTTCTGGCAACAGCCAGCCCAAGTCTAGCTGCATTCACCCTTCACCACTCTAGCCACTTCTGCACCCCCACATGCTCTCCCCCAGCTAGCAGCAGTCAGTTACTTGAATGTTGGCCTGCTTGTGAGCCACCTATGACTTGCTACTTCTGCTGGCTTCCCCAATGACTTTGGCTGTGAAAAGCTGGCAGGAATTGAGAAGAGGTCCTCACCTAACAACCACTGCAATTCAGTTAATGACAGCAATTGAGACTGCAGTTACTTAGCCATTGCTAAGGGATGTAGCTGTACTTTATGACCACATTGATTAGTGATGGAAATTTTGGTCCCAATTGCCATTGTAACTATATATATTTAAGCCTGTATTAAGCTTACCTGTATTTGACTACCTGTATATAAGCTAGGGATTTTTTCACTATTTAGAAAAACATTAAAAATGCTTAATTTTGTCTCTGTTTTGTGTGGGAATATAAGTAAGAAACTTACAATTTGTGATAAAAATGACTTGATATCTGGAGGATAATCAACACTAACTCTCTTAGTAAAAATTAATCCTTTTTGAGCTTTTAAAAATGAGAACCAAAACTCATAAAGATGATTATACCTGCATCATAAGTTCATCAGTTACATATCTGGCCTATTCACAGAACAGATACAAGTTGAGGAATTAGTATCAAGACCTGAAGAATTTTGAATATATTCACAGCTTAATTTTTGGCAACAGATGAGCAACAGTGAAGAGAAAATTGGTTGCAAGCATCGTAAACTGTACAGTATAGTGCTAGAGAAGCATAGCATCACCAAGTTAAAAGGGACTATTTAGACTACATCCTATTCAGAACAAGAACTCAGATTTGAAAATGGCTGTTCAGCCTCTGCTTCACTGCATCCAGTAATAGGGAGCTAAGGGTCTCCTGTGACTCTCTACTCTTATACCTCCCTTTTTGCTGCTCAGCCAACTGTCCAACCGCAGCAGAGAAAGCGTTCTGTTGAAGCCACAAGGTAAAAAACTTTGAGACAGAAATTCCCACCACTTCTTCACCCTTCCCTTTTCCCATTAAGAAAGATAGAGCAAGGAATGTGTTTGGGAACCAACAATTTGAGGTTGCTGTTTGTGAAAGGTACCCTTCTCTGAAGAAGTCCTTAGCCTGGTTTGTTTGGAGAGAGACAGTTGTTCTCTGATTCTGATTGCTGGCATGAATCTCAATTTTGCCTCCTAACTTATTCCATGGTTCTGAATTCTTCTCTTCTCTCTCTTCTCTCTCAGATTTTGCACCTCCTAGGCACTGGCAGTAGGTCCAGCCTGATCCCATATCTTGTTCATTTGAAATATGTTTCTATAGCTTGCTATATCTGCAGCATTTGTTATGTTTGGGACAGAAGTGTTTACTATAAAGAAAATTGGGTCATCTGCCAAACACAACCCAGTAGTGATGCCTGCATAAACAGTGTGTGACTTCACTTGACCCACCTGGCAGCACAGCAGGTAGCAAGCTTTGCGATCTCTCAACAGGTGGCCTGCCAGCAGTATGTTCTGTGAATCAGACACAAATAGAAGATTTTCTTTTTTCTTCCAGGGGACCTACCAAAATCTGAGCCTTAGCTCTAGCTTAAATGTAATATTTTATGACATATCTATATTTAAACAGATCCTTGAAAACAAGTAGCAAGTAGGGAAAACGTATGTGCATTACACAGAAACATGACCTATGATAGTAAAAATATTTTTGGCCTTAAGTCAAGTGGCTTTCTATACCAAGCTTAAGAAGTCTACTGAAAAATTTATGAAAAGTTCCTGGTGTTCTTTCTTTTATTTCTGGTTAATTTCATTTGTCAGATGCCTAAAATTTTATACAGGTCATGATAAAGATGACAAAGAGGGAGAGATGGTATGGAGTTAACAGAATAGCAAGGAAACCCAAGCACTAATTGTTATAAATATATATAAAGGCTTAAAAGCCAGATGAAATAGCTACTGAAGCAAACCAAAAAGCAAGTGATCCTGCTTGCATCTGTTGGCATGAGAATGATTTGGCAGTCTCATTTTTCCTCCATCCAGAGTCAGTCTTCTGAGTTGATTCAAGAGATCTTCAATTCAGCCTAATGATTTTTAGATTATAGTAAAATATTGGATTATTTTACTTATTACATTTATATTTTACTTTTTCCTCAATTCTCAAAGTTGCATCCTGAACACTTTCTAATTTTATCCTTCCAACAATCGGGGAGAGATAATGGCTACAAACACACATTATGCAACGTGAACAACATAAACAGCGGAACAGCCACAAACTAGGACCTCTTTGGTTAGAATCCAACAATCTTACCAATACATTGAGTACAATTCCCATAGTTCCCAGAGACACTCCATTTTAGATTGTAATTTGTTGCAAAGCTATACCAGCTTCATTTTTTTTTCTTTCTGATATTTTTAACCACAATGAAAACTTTCTGAAAATTCAAAAGTTTGCCATGCCCCTTACAAAACTTTGGTAAATGTAATGAAAATATTACCTGTTCAGTCTGTAAACCTGGAGGCAAAGTTTATAGACTATTGTATAATTCTAGGACTGTTTCCCAAAACCATTAATAAAATTACCATCCAGTTTTAATCTTGTCCTGTATACTGTAACTGGCTTGTATGGCTTGCTACACTTTGCAGTCCTAAGTCTGGGTTGCAGAAACCAAGCATCAACTGGGATCTCTCTGACTCTTTGCTGTCACCGTATAATTCTCTGGATTTTTGCAATATGGTACCCCTAGTTACAAAAATTCAGTCTACAATTTCCTTTTAAACTGATACAAATAATGGTCCTTAGAATATTTTTTTTAAATAATATGTCTCTGGGTTTTTTTTGTTTCTTTTCATGCCTAATTACGGTATATAATTTACCTAGTTACCCTTTAAAATGCGCTTAATTTTTCAAATCTTGTTTACTAATTTTGCAACTCAGCATGCTGGAAATATTAGTTGAAAAGAGATGGGGGAATCTCTTGAATGACCAATTGCTGCTTCATGAGATAATCATATCAGGTGTTCAGTACTGAAATGGTTTTTGATTACAATTCTATTCTGCCATTTTCTGAAAGCCTTCGATAAAACTGAATTTTAAATAAAGCATTATACTAAAAGACATTCCTGTCTTGCAATCATTTAGACACTGCTAAACAATTGGTGTAGTGTTTACATCAGTGTAGTGGTTAAGGCAGCAAGCTAGAAGGGAGTCAATGAGTTCTAGTCCCACTTTAGGCAGAAAGCAAGTGGGTGACCTTGGGCGAGTCATTTTTCTCACCCCTAAACCACTTCTGAAAAACCCTGCCAAGAAAACTTCAGGCAGTCTCTGAGAATCAGACACAGCTGAATGGAAGAAGAAAAAAAAACATTCTTAGCTTAAATTGTTTTAAAGTTGAGTAGCTTAGTTTGATAAACTTTTACCATTTAATAATAATTCTTTATTATTTAATTCATTAATATTTTATCTTTAAAGTAATTAGTTTGTCATGTGTCTGAGTAACGAAACACTTAAAAGGACTTTCAGGCATGTTTTCTCCTAAAAGCATTTATTAATGTTAAAGCCACATCAGCACAGCATGGTGGAATGCTTAGGACTGGTTCCTTTTCCGCTATGCATGTAATTCTAAACATTTCCCTCCCACCCTTTTTTGGGGTCATGGTTCACATCTTCCAATCAACTAGGAAGATGTGATTTACATCCGGTTTCTTTTCCCCTTCTGCCTGGTTTAACTATAAAAATGCCAGACAGCTCTGCATATTGTCAAAGCAAGAATATACAGTATTTGCAGCGTTGACATAGTTATTAAGTTAATAATTATTTAATAATTCTCTTCTGGTGGTACTTTTTAATAAATTTGTGGTCATAATTAATTTTTTTGCTGAAAAAGTGGTAGTTATGCTGTAAATCAATGCTGAAAAGCAATGTTCAATTGTTATAAATGTTTGCCAATGTTTGGAACTCATGAAACTATTCATTGGTTTATGACCTGTAAAAACAGAACATACTGGAGATGCTCTCGCCAAAAAGAAAAATAGAAAGACAAAGTACAATGCTTTAATCATGGTGTCAGGCTAAAACTATTAATAACACTTACAAAGCAGTTAAGTTTGACGTATATAGACACCTAAACATTAAAAATCTGATTTCCTTGTACTTTTGTGTTAACCTAATATTTTGACACTTAGGATGCACCTGACATCCATCATTTTTTTTCAATTTTGATACATAATTGAACTAATGTCCATAGAAAGCAAAATGTTCCTAAGCATTTATACATCTAGTAGGCACCTGTACTTGATTTGATCTGACTAGAAAACCAGAAACTTATGGT